GCGAGTTCTTGCTCAGGAGTTGAGAATTTATAATTGGCGAGGACGAATGCAAGTAACAAGGTTTACCTAGAATTTTTTTTTGCAAGGGTGGAACTATTTAATGGAAAAGGTGGTCTGGTTGAAGGGCGCATAGAGAAGATTGATGTTGCGGGGGTAGATTTGGAAGCTACGGAGAACCCAAAATTAGTTTCTCCACAAGCGACACAATGGCATATTTTTGCTGCGTTTAGTGAGTTTTCAGATGATTATAAAATTTTTATATTGTCTTATTTAGTTATTTTATTTATATCTCAGGCTCCTGTTACTAATTCACGTTGTTGGTTTTAAGGCACTCTCAAGGGGGGCCGTGCTGATTGGCTTGTTGAGAAATGCACTGTATGTTCTTTATTGTTTTGACAAATGGTTTGAGTACAATTACCTTTTTATTTGTTATGTTGGGTGATGTTATTTAATTCCTCTGTCGACCTATGCACAATAGGAGCTTGGAGCATCCAGCGTGACACCTTTGTTGACTGAACGTTCTAATTCTATATCAGAAAACAGAGTTGACAGGCTACAGCGACTCATTCTTGCCGCAACAAAACAATGTAGAAAAGTGGCCTTTTTACCTGCAATTGCGTACCCTCGTTCGGATTAAATTTATGTGAAGTTGTTAGTGTGATTTGGCTATTTTTTTTCTAATTGTTCATCAAATGGTACTTTTTTGTATAGGTCAGCGTTTGCATGAAATGATATTAAAGCCTCCTATTACAGTGGTGAATCTCCTACCTATAGTGAGTATCACCTTTAAAGTCACTGTTTTATGATGATTTAAAACTGTTACATACATGTCGACTTTCTCCATAGATGCAAAATTTAGGATTTCACTTTTCTGTTTTCTGTTTTATGCTTGTTTTTATGTTTTTTCTATCTCACATTCAGGTAGGTCAGTCAAGATTATCGCTGGTGGCTGTAGCTGAGGCTACTCCAGTTTTAAATACTTTGAGGGTTTTAAATAAAGAATCTGCGGGAATCGTCATAATTGGGCCTGAAGGAGGTTAGTGGTCAATGTTGTCTGTGAACATCCCTAATACCTTACTTGAGATGGGCCATTTTATTTTTCATCCTCTTCTTTTTATTATTTTTTAACTACTAAATGACTTTGTTAATGTTAATATAGCTGGATGAGCTTGGAAACTGTAATTTCTTCTTGTGATAAATTATGCGCACCAATCCAGAAACTTATTCATCTAGCAAGGACCTTTTTAAAGTCAGTTTCCGAAATTTGAATTTTCCCGGTTTTTATTTATTTGAAAGTTACCTTTAAAGTGTGCTACGGCAGCAAAAATTGGACATGCTTGTGCATTTGTTAGCTACTTGTTGGACTAGAAATACAACGTAATGGCCGAGTGAGGAAATATTTTGATCCTACTTCATGCAAAGAAACTTTTATATTCTTTCATCATGTAAATATAAAGATATTCGATCATGAGGGATGTAATAAACATTTTTTTAGCTATAGAATCGAGCATCTGGACTTGTTTGTACACAGCAGAGCTGTAGATTTGAAGATTTCTGAGTAACACATCCCGGGATGATTTTTTAACTGAAGAAACAAAGACACATATACAATACGATTCAAAAGTACTCAAGGTGGTACATACATTATATAAAAGAACAATCTGAAGACATGAATGTCCCTAGATATAGAAAGATACCAATTTTTTTGGTACTGTTTTACACTCATACTTAAGGGCCTGTGGAGTAGAAAAAGGTAGGCCTGACAAGCATGCAATGAGTTCTATAACTTTGAAGATTGGATTTCTTTAACTAATGATTTCACATCCACTGCCTTAACATTTCTTTCTGGGTGATTTATTATAAGTTATAACCATCGATTCTTACCTTGGATGTCCTGTAATTAGACTTTACAGATAAGGAGTTGGTCTCATTAACGGAGGCTGGTGCAACGGCTGTTGGTTTGGGCCCACATCGTCTGCGTGTTGAAACTGCTACAATCGCTCTTCTTTCAACCCTGATGTTATGGTCCGATTCCCAGGAAACTATCAGCAGTTAGTTAGTTGCACTTTCAGGCAAGCCTTTCTGTTCTTACGGTATATTTCGTGTTGAGTAACATACGGTTTTATTTTGGGGAAAGTTTGATATCTGATCTCGTTTTTCGGTTGAAACATGCATGTGCTAATTGAGTTTCGGTTGAAACATGCATATAGCGTTTCCTCAGAGTCTTTGACCCATCAAAATCTGTAATGGGCTTTCATATTGTTTTGTTTCTGTTGTAAGATGCATATATATCTTTACCGTTAACTGTTCAATTAAGATGAGATGTATTATATTAAATATTTTTTAGTCTTTAAGGATCTTTAATTTTTTTAATAAAAAACTAAAAATAAATAAATTATAGAGGTATAGAGATAGGAAACTATCTACTACATAGTCGTTGAGGTGTTAAAATCTTCGTATTTATTTTCTAGTCTTAATTATAGGGGCCACTGCAATATAGAATTTTGTTGACTTTTGAGTTTAGTTTTCACATTCTAATTCTATTTTAATTTACATGTTCATAATGGCCTTGTTATAGCTAAAAACCTGATTACGTTATATGACATTGCATAGATGAATCCTGATTACATTAAATACTTTTTTTTTTCAACGATATAGATTACATAAAATACCGGTTTGACTAGTATATTCTATTAAATAAATTGTGTAGAATTATTTTGACAAATAATTATTAGTGAATAACGAATTTTATAATATAAAATGAATAATAAGGAGATTAAAAAATATTTTGGTTTAGGTATATTTTATTATAATATAGATTTATCCGATGTTTTCGTTGTGAATAATCCCCCTGTATATTAATCCAGAACGTGCTGAGCCTACGTGACTGCTTCTGGTGCTTCGGAATCCTATGTGGCAAAATTACATGCTTCGTTATTAGGCTGGGGTAAATGTTAATTTAAATCAAAACCAAAAATAATTAGGTTTGGATTACCATAAATATGTTGATTATTTATTGTCCAAATCAAAATCGGGCCGACCTTGCCCCGGAGTAGAGCATTGGTCATGCTACATGTATTAATTGCATTTTAATATCATTCCTTATTATAACTATTGAATTGTATATATATTTTAAAAGTTAATAACTTTTGTATTTTTTTATCAGTTTTACATGTGTAATATATCAAATTAATCTTCTTTTGATTAGCTTCGATTTAACATCCATATTGTATGTATAAAAAAAATAATTTATATTTATCTTTATAACAATAATAAAATTATTTTTAATATTAATTAAAAAAATAAAATTATTTATCAACTAATATATTTATATTTCAAGTAGTTATATGATATAAGTTATAAAAATTAATATAATATAACACATGTAAGTCATAAGTAACACATATCATTCTAAAATATATAGTAATATATTTTTTTTGTAAAAAAGTAAATTAAATTTAATATAGTTTTGTTATTAATTTTAAAATTTAAGAATAATTTTTTAACAAGCTAGCACCCGTGTAATACACGAGTGTTGTACTAGTTAATATTATTAACTTAACGAAATTATTACCTTGAAATTGTTGATGTACAATTTTTTAAGTTGATAATCCACACACACCATATTTATATCTTCGAATTATTTTACTATGATATAAAAAGTATAAATGATTTCCATTTACTTACTATTTATAAGTTCAAAATAAGGAAGTGTGCTAAAGTATACGTATGCTCTTATAAGTAATTTTACATGTTAACAGTTAACAACTAATCATACCAAATAATTCTTCCACAACCTGTTAATATAGACTTTCCTTGACGATCAGTTGATAGTATAATTACTAAACGTATTGGGTGATGGCGAATTGTATTAATAGAGTTAGCTGATATAAGGTAGTTGATAGTTGATTCTATTGGCTGGTTTGACTGGCTAATTTAATTAGTAGTTTAGCTGATTTAATTAGAAGTTTGAGCTGATAGCAAATTGTATTAGCTAATTTAACTAGCAGATTTAATTAGCATTTGTGAAATAAGAGTTTGGTAAACAACGAAAATTTATAGCTACATTGTACTGCCCTTTTTAAAATCATGTCTTCCCAAAATGTTACCCTTTCGTGCTTTTTCAAAATTAGGTTTTCGGGCATAAAAAGATTATCAAATAAGTTAATTAGCGGATTTGATTGGTGAAAATTGAAGTCCTAATCTCAGGTAATAAACAAACGGGTCCTTAATCTACTGATGAAAACAACTTATAAAATGTGCCCCAAACAAATCCATCCAAATTCTCACACTTGGGTTTTATTTCATATAAATGCAACCGTGTGGATTTAATTGGGGTAGAACTTAACTGCCACCCGATGCCATCTTTGGCTGTCAACTTTTGACTGTTTTTATTTTTATTTTTTATTGTTTTTGATTAATTTCATGAATTGATTGATGTCTATAATGAACTTATATATATCACATAAATGATCTCTAGTTATAAATATATATATATATATATATATATATATATATATATGTCTATCCCCATCAAGTGAATAAAGAGAAAATCGTCCCTATATATAATTATTGAATTTGTTGATCATAAGTGACAGACTCGTATACTCCGTAAGCTTATTTGAAAAATGTACATGTTTAGTTTTGACTAGTAGATTTGATAATTACATAAAAGTATTTTAGTTTTTCTTTCTTTTTAAGTTATCATATACCATTCTTACGTTTTTTTTATTTAATCCATATAATACTTATTATAAATATGTATTCTTTTTTATTTTTACAAATTTATAATTTTTTATTTTGTATTTTATTCTTTATATGTGATATATTAAAATAATCATATATTAACGGTGTTCGATTTGACATCCATATTGCATATATAAAATAAAAACAATTTCATCTATCTTCATAAATTGAACTTATTTTATTATCAGAACATTTTGAAAAATATCAAACAACAATATAATTTATTTTATAAAATAATATGAATATTGTTCAACAATACATCATAAAATAATAAATGTAATGTTTTTTTCAATAGATTTTGAATAAAATATGGAAATTAGGTATTATGTAAATAAATTTTAAAAAATATATTATTTTTCGATTTAAATAGATTGTATAAGGAACTGTATGTAATTATGTTGTTTAAAATAATAAATATAAAAAAATATTATAATAATTTTGCATTCGATAATATTAGAAAAGAATACATTTCCTCGTAAATTGATATTTTTAAATTATTAAATTATAAGAATTTAAAGTACTTGAAAAAATAATAAAAGAAACACTGCTCTATTAATATAAAAATTACAACACAAACTAACTTGTTTTGTGTTAAAAAATTTTGAATAAAATATATAGAGTTGTAAATGACATATGTTTAGATATATATAATTTCAAAATACAATTAAAAATATCATTCTTTGGCAAATTTAGTGTAAAAATACAAAAAATACAGGAGCCGTTTCGAATTAATTATCACTTTATTAGTTATTTATTGTTGCATCATTATACATAATTTCATAATAAAAATATAAATTAATTTAATTTTTTATTTTTATAAAAATTAATATATTTAAATACTCATGGAGTATATGGATATCGTAATAGTCAATTTTATTTTAAATACATGCATTTACAAATTTTTGTATGGGTTAGTCTCGAGTATGACATTATGCTATACGAATAAAAATCCATACTTTTATTATTAAGTACCATACATTTTTCTATATTATTTTTTAGAGTGTAACATTTTTCAATGGAACTATGGATATTTATAGAAAAAAAAAATGATAACATTCTAAGAATTAAGAGCATCTCCAATGCTCAATGTTGTAGTGGTAAATTACATTTCACATCAATACATTTATTATCGTAATTTTTCATCCTTCGATGTACAATGTGATCACAAACGTTGTGATGATGTGGACATATTAGAGAAAAATGTGGTCTATCCACATTCTACTCTACATTCTAGTTAGCCAATCAAAAGAAGAGAGAATTATTATTACTATTTTTAAACTATTTAATTAATTTTACTAATTCATATTAAAGTTTTATTATTTGGCAAGTAGATAATATTGTAATCAGGCCACATTGTGCATTGGAGATGATTTTTTTAATTTAATAGTCGTGAACTCAATATTTGTCTTACATGGTTCACAATCTATTTAATTTTTTGACATTTGTCGAAAAAAATTCCATAACAACATTAGAGCATTGGATTATTTACGGTGATATATTTGGTTCTTACCCTTGTGGTTGAATGAATTATTTATAGTTACAAATTAACCTTGTTTCTAGTCCACTCCGAATTGCACTCTAATCCTCCGGGATTAGGTGGGTGTTTATCTGATCAAATATACTAATACCACATGACACGTGAAAGATTATTTTAGTAAAAATAGCATAAACATTTCAAAATATAATAATGACTAAATACATGATAATTAAATATACGTATGGGATTAATATTTTTTTAGAAAAATTATTGTTTTTATATTTAATTTTGGCTACGAATTTGACTTCTTTTTCCCAATGTCAGAATTTTTGGGGTTGATTGATATTTTTCGGGTATGGCTTTTGCTAGTCTTCGTGGCAAATAATGAAATTAGAAATTATATTATATTGTAGAGTATAAAAAGGATAATTTAATACTTGTTCAACCCTTTGCAGTCAATTATATATAATTTTTTTTCTGACCATATATTATAATTATCACTTTTTGCTTTTTTTTTTTATTGGTTGAAAGTTGGGCAATAACTGACGGAGAATATTAATTAAACAATAATCATGTTAGTCTAGAAAAGGCACTTATTATGATAGCTAAAATCTCAAAATTTTGAAAGCTAAAAAGTGCAGACGCTTTGCTGGTTCAAATGTCAAGCTACATATTCAATTATTGAATAGTAAAAACAATATTCAAGTATAATTTGGAAAATCATTTGATAGTTGTTTAATTTATAAAACTATTAAATATTATAGTAGCTTAAGTACTAAATATTTTTCGGGAAGTCTCATGATCATCCAATAAAATAAAATATTTAAATAAAA